TGACTTCAATAGAATTCAAATGACAAGCACAAGTTTGACACCTTTGTCGAATTGCTCTACTTAAATCAGATCGTTTCATAAATTCATTAATTGAAATTATAGCATTAACTGTTAGATTTCTCCATCTAATACAATCGTCTATATCTAAATCGTTCGAATGGTTATAAGCTTTCCATAAATTTTTAATTGTTTCTTCAAAATAGGTGAAAGAAGTCATGTTGTTAGTTATCTAGTTTTATTGTCTTGTACAGTCACTTGTCTATAGTTATATAAAGGATTATTATGATGAAAGGATGGAAAAGGTAGTGAACAGCTCTAAAATGAACTTGTTCTCAGTTGGTAATGAATATTGATTTGTTTAACAAATCAATAAGGATTTAACTAACTACTGAGGAACTAGTTGCAAATGGCGTAAGGTAAGGCAAGCTTAGGTCGCAGGCTGTCTCGAGAGACTGCGCTCTTTTGCTAGGCCAAAGCGGCTTTTAAAGGTTAAGTGAGGGCGCTGTCAGTAAACTGAGGGCGCTGCCAGCAAACTGAGGGCGCTGCCAGCAAACTGAGGGCGCTGCCTACAAAGTGTGGGCGCTGTAGGCAGGATATGGAAGGGTTAGCTCAAACGAAAGAGTGGGGGTGAACCGACTGTAGCACCATCTAACTTATTAATTTAGTATTAAAGGGTTTATATATAGATCTTCAGAATAAAAATATAGTCATTATTGCTTTGAGATACGATTCAGCTCACATATCATAGAGAATAATGGGATTTATACTCTAAGATGGACTATATTTTAGATATTCAAGGCTTTCAGAGTCTTAATAATACTTTTATTTGTAAGGAGTTTGCCTATTTACCAGTATGTTCTAATACTTCACCTACAGTACTACTTTTTAAACCTCCATATCATTGGTTCAAACTGTCTATTGAATATCAAAGTGTTAATAAGTGGTTGGAATTACATCATCATGGTATTTATTTTTATTATCGTTAATTAACATTGATTTTATTTGAAATATTTAATATAATCAATTTTATAGGTATATTATGGAGAAATGGTATTTTACCATATAATTTTTTAAATTGTACTATACGCAGTCATTTACATAATTGTAGAAATATTTATGTGAAAGGATTACAAAAGAAGCAATGGCTCAAAAAAATTATTCCTGAAAAGTAGGTTCAAATAATATACAATAGTACAAAATTCTAAATTCGAATTTAATTAGTTTTTTTTTTTTTAATACAGAAATATTTTAGATATCGAAACTGAAATGAGATGTCCGCGATTGGAAGATTTAAGTCTTAAATTTAAACCATCATGCATATATCATAGTCAAAATCGCGAGAATATAGTATGTGCTGCAGTAAATACACAAAAGATACACGATTGGATGATGGAAAGACAAAAACAAGCAAAATCAAAAGGGATCGACACAGTCGAAAGATTGACAGATGACTATAATTCATATAAAAATTCAACTGAATATTTAAAAATAGCTATATCAGACACTGAACATAAAGATTATAGACAAAGTGTACTCTATTCAATGTATAATTAAAAATAATAAATATTAAATAAATAATAAATGTGTGCTTTTTTAAATAGTAAAATAATTATAACGATTGTAAGAAAGGGTGAATGGATGGGAATAAGGTTCTCTCCTAGCAGAGATGTTTAGGAGAAACATCTCAAGGAGGTGTCAGTCGAGCGACTGCATTCCTAGTCACTAGCATTCTCACGAAAACAGTTCCCTTCGTGGAGAGAGCACGTATTGACTATAGACAGCATACGCTCGCCTCCGCGCACCATGGTCCACGCTTAGCTAGAGCGTAGGAGAGAGAGAGAGAGAGAGAGAGAGAGAGAGAGAAAGAGAAAGAGAGAGAGAGCGCTCGTTTACTACTACTATAGTAGCGCATCCCCATCAGGCCAGAACTATAGACAGCATGCGCTCCCTTCCTCCTCGCACTGTGGACCACGCTGAGTCAGAGCTAGAGAGAGAGCATACATTTAATACTACTATAGTAGCGCATCCCCATCAGGCCAGAACTATAGACAGCATGCGCTCCTCCTCCTCCGCACGCTCGGGCCCTATACCAAATGTATGCGTGTGTAGCAAATATACACAATATGCATCCTCTAAGGTACATGTGGCATTGGCTCTAGTGGTAGAACGCTAGCCTGCCAACCCAGAGGACTCCGGTTCTATTCTCCGGTCTGTCTTTTCATTTTTTTCAAAAAATCGTCGCTATTTTCTATATTCGTTTCATTCTCAATGTAGCAAGTAAATTGTTAATATATATTTATAACTTAAAAAAAAAACATTTAAATTTAATTAGACTGAAAGCACTAGGTATAGGGTCCCTGGGGACTAGGAACCCTAAGGACTAGGAGCCCTAGAAGCCTTCCTCAAAAATTATAAACAATTATTAACATTAATAATAATAATTAACATGGAAGGGATAGAGGCCAGGGAATCAAAGGGTTAAACCAAGGGACCCCCCACGAATATTGTTAATAATAATTGTTAACAATAATAATTATTATTAACATGAAAGGGTTAAGCCAGGGGGGCCAAAGGGTTAAGCCCGGTGGGGTCAAAGGGTTACAGACCCCCCGCAGGTGTGCTGGAACGTACGTATGTTCCAGCACACCGGAGACCCCCCGCAGGTGTGCTGGAACATACATTGCTATACTACTGTCATTTATACATGTCCCAGTGGAAAAGGACGCGCCCGTTATATGTTGCGTAATTAGAAAGAGATTTCCCCGGTTAACAGGTTAAAAAGTAAGTATTATTATTCACGACATGCAAACAGAACCTAACAAAAATGATTTTCAACCTCATAATTTATTAAATATATTTTAATGTAACTGATTATTAACATACATAAATATTACTTTTCGTCTTATTTAGTCAATGTTATTACCCATAAATTGAAAAAATTGTAATAATAAACAATGCTCTTACTTTTGGTAGCTATATCATTTTTATTACTGAAAATGCATAAACATCTACAACAAAAAATGATTCGTCCTTTCATCAAGAATACTTAAACTTTGCAAAGTGCAAAAATTTTATTTAGAACCGAGTTTATGCCGGATTAACTGAAATATTTCGGAGCAAACGCATAGCGGCCCGCAAGAGCAAAAGCTGTGCCCGTCGTACTTAATAACGCAGCATTCTGCGCTCGCACTAATTTTGCCATATCTTAGGTTCTATTTCATATTTTTGCCTCAGCCAAAAAACAATAGATTCTACATGATATTGGCTATCATTCGATTACTTCAACACTCCTGTGAGTTAATTATAAAAAAAGTGACAGTGATTTAAACAGTTACATTTTTCGCCAGAGTCCGTTTTTGTTGATGTTAATTTGCAATACCTTTGCTTCTAATAAATGTATATGAAATTTACAAATCACGTAGAATTTCTTGTGGAATATTACATCGATTAGATTATCAATAAGTTTTGTAACTTTTTTAAAATAAAAGTTATAGATGTTTAAACAATTAAAAGGACCGACATCCCGAGTTTTTGTTAGTTAATTTATCATATCTCGGCCACTAATTAATATTTTTGCAATTTTCAAAATTCCTCTTATTTTTTAGGGAATAGGCAATCATTTTTCATTGTCATAACATATCTAACTGAATGAGAATAAAAGTTATAGCGTTTTAAACATTTAATTTGTTAATAAAGAACTGAAAGTCGCCTCGTCCAGCTAAATTCTCGGAATTCGGATTCAGCAGGTCAAAATACGTCTAGAATATTTGGGTGTTTGCGGGGACCTCAATTGGCCATGGGAAGGTCTTTCGTTCCCGGACTAGATAGACAGTAAAAACTGTAGAAACATGAACGACCATGATCGTTCAAGTGGTAGAGGCTGGATTATGGAACTATCGAATACGGGTTCGATTTCTCGGAGTGTTTGTTTAATTTTTTAAAAATTACCAATTTTTTAAAAAGACCAATCAACGTTATAGTATAGTATGTGTAAATCCACACATATTAATGAATTTTCACTCATTCACACACACACATCGTAATTGTGGCAGGTGGGGGGGGGGGGGGGGGGGGGTAACTGGTAATGGTACTATAGAAGCGTAATTCAGCTAGATCACATGTTAATTTTAAAATGTGAGATCACACTACGAGTGTTGATTCAAAATTCCAAAGATCTCAAATCATGCGAAGAGCTGATAAGTACAAATAAAAAAATTTTTTTTCATGGATATTTATTCCTTTATGCTAAAAAGTAAAAATATAAAGGAGTATATCATTTAGTTGATGTGTTTTCTTATATAAATGTGGACACTAGTACTATTTGTAATGAAAAAATTCAATATCTGTCCACATTATGTGGACACAAGTCAGAAGTCAGAAGAGGTCAACTAGAATAAATTGAATTTATTTTGTGATTGACAAATTTTCCGAACTAAAGTGATTGAATTTATCTGTTCAATGTTTTAGTGGGCAAATTTATTGAAAGTTTTTTAACAACTCATGAATATGATTGCAATTCAAAGATCTTGAGACTTTCTTTTTTCATTGGCAAAATATAAATAAGTAATTTCACTTAAGATTTTACGATAAAGTGTTTCAAGCACATAAAAGACTAAAAACATTCAAAATTAATATAAATTAAGTAAAGTTTGATTGATTTTTTCCATTCCAATGTGCATATCATTTTTGATCAGATTAAACTAATGTACAAATTTATTTGAAATTATTATATAAGTTTCTGAATCAATCTACGTGAATTATAGAATAATCAAAAATTTTTTACAATTTTCAAAGTTATTTTAATCCTGTACAGTATTCATATTTCCACATTAAAACGCTGTAAAAAATTAAATGTTTAATTTTTTTGTATATCTTCTAATGTATTTTTTATCACTATGTGCCAATACTTTTTCAGCATCTTACGTAAGAAAACTCACTTCAAGAAGATTTAGAATGAATAGGTAAATTTATAAGTTCAGATATTTTATCATGAACAAATATAGCTTGATCTTGTATTACAAATAATAAAGTTATCATTGATTTCTTGAACAGATAGTCGTTTGTCTTATAATTTTTAACGTGTTATTTTGAGATGATGCACTAATAATTTACGTAAAAAATTGTATTAAAAAGAATCAGACATGCCAATGAAACAAGAAACAGAGCCATTAATGAAATATTCATCAATTCAAAAGTGGAATGACAAAGAATTATATCAAGCTATCAGCGTAAGTTTGAAATTATTAATTGTATATTCGTAGGAAAGAGTATGGTCTATAAAAATATAAAAATTTGAACATAATACCACTAAAATTTCAAAACATAATATATAGAGTTATATGAAAAAATTACAGAATTTTATTTTCTCATATTCTTACATGTTTGAATAAAAAATAAAATTGTATAAATCGAGTTATTACTAAAAAAAAGTAATATTTTCAGTTTGATAAGCAATAGCGTTATTCCACGAAGTGGTGGTGCATAACTAATATTTTTGGATTTTGTTTTTAATTAACAATTAGTTTAAATATTTATTACTGCTTCTCTCTGAGAATTTATTACAATCATAAAAGTATCTTCAGAAAAGTAGGCAAGTAATCGAAATTGATATTTTTCTAGCATACACCTATAATATGTTTAGATAGCGTCGTAATTTAAAAAAAAAATTATTTTCTATATAAAAAATTTTATTAAATTAAAACAAAACTTTATTCAATGAAAGTTACAATCTTTCTTAAAATTACAGGTAAAGCTCGGAAAATTATTTTCTAGTATAAAAAATCTGTATTGTGATGTATTTAGTCCGACCACCTGGGGAAGGGGGGGCTAGCATATATATGTTCATTTCGAAATCCTCTCGGTAATTTGATGTTATTTTACGTTTTTTGGGTCGCTGATTACGAATTTTCAGGTTATCAGACTTAAAAGTTGTTAATTAATTAGTTATTAACAATTTTATTGTAAAAAGAGCTATTTTTTTCAATTTTTCTACCTCTAATCATCATGAAAAATGTACTCTTTTTTTATAATAAAGTTATTATTATTATTCACATATCGAATAAACAGTACGTCAGAGTGTATGCATGCGCACTGTATATTGCTACCGTGATATGACTGCTTGAGACATTCGTGTACTGAGCACATTAGAAACATTCTTTTTGTATTTCTATAATATTAATTATTATTACATTAACATTTTTTGTTGATATCATACATTTTTTAACTCTTCTTCATACAATAGCCATAGAAAACGTACAACACTGTAATAAAATCCTACTGTTTTTCATTTACCTCTAAGCATTTTTCGATAAAACTTTGTTACATATAATTTATTATTGTAATAACGACGCATGTTCAAATGATTTTGACAAATACAATATATAATACAATGTATAATACAATATATTTACAAACGTTCCGTGTGATTTAGTCATTGAGAGTCTCGATAGGCGATTTAATAAGATTCACTCTGTTTCGGAGATACCTTTTACTGAAATAGTTGATACGGTAAAGTTTTTGTTTGATAATACTTTTTTCCAGTTTGATGGAATAATTTACAAACAGATTTTTGGTACACCGATGGGTTCTCCAATATCGCCGTTGTTTGCTGATTTAGTTATGGATGATTTGGAGACAGATTGTTTAAATGTTTTGCGAGAAAAATATAATTGTTTTTTATATTTTTTATTTTAGATATGTAGATGACACTATTTTATGTATAAAAAGGGATAATTTACAATTGGTTTTGGACATTTTTAATAATTATAATAATCATTTAAATTTCACACATGAAATCCAATGTAATAATAGTATAACTTTTTTAGACATTTCGTTAATAATCAAGAACAGTAAAATTGTTACTAATTAGTACCAAAAACCGACTTGTTCAGGCAGATTTTTGAATTTTTATTCTAACCATACAACTCAGCAAAAAAGAAACATTGTATATAATCTGATTGATAGATCTTTATTACTATCTGATGCAACCTTTCATGAAGATAATATAAAAATTGTTAAGAGCATTTTAAAAAATAATGATTACCCGGAAAAATTTGTTAAAACATGTATATTAGATCGCATTCGTAAACATAGATTTTGGAATAGTATTACTACTCAGGATGATAGAAAAAATACGAATATTAAATCGATGGTTTTAACGTTGCCTTTTCATAAAAAATTTTTTAACTTATGTAACCATAGTTTAAGAAAATTTAATATTCATTGTATACCATTAATTAATCATAAGCTGGACAATATAGTAAAACTGGGTAAAGATGTTACAGATAAGTGGAATGAGACAAATGTAGTATACAAATTTTGTTGTGATAGTTGCCCGTCTGTATATATTGGTCAAACTAAGAGAAGTTTAAAAAAACGCATAGAGGAGCATAGTAAGACACCTTTAGATAAATCTCTTCCTGTTCCTGTGCATTTGAAAAATTATCCTACACATTCGTTTGACTGGGACAACACAATAATTTTAGATAGAGAGTCTAATTATTGTAAGAGATTAATTTCGGAAATGATATATATTAATTTGTCTTATAACACTATAAATAGACAAGAAGACACTAGTTTACTGAGTAAACAATATAAAGGTTTATTTGATGTTTTAGCTGACTGATCTCACATTTATTTATAATATTTTTTTAAATTTTGTTTTGATGTACAATGATGCTTAATGTACCGTTTTCATGGCATAGGAGAGGGGATACATTTGATTGTGTGTCTACCTCTGATTTGTTTTGGTATAAAAGGTAACAGACACTGTTTTGATTTGCATTATTTCATAGTCGTTGTCCGATTTGAATTTTGAGTATTTGAACGAACGTTAAGTTATAGGATGAGTTTGACAGTGTATTTTTGACTTTATTGTGATATTTAATTTGATTGTGACTTGCGAATTGAGGTAAATGTTTTGTTAGCGTGATTTTTATTTGTTTTTGGTTTATATCTGTTATTGTAACCATTTTCTCGTTTTGTTTTTTAATAAAGATCTGATGAGGTTGGATATTTACCAACGAAACACACGTGTGTAACCTGAGATGATTGTTTGATTATTATTTTTTTTTCATAACGGGTTGGCTCTAAAATTGGATTGAAAAAAAAAAAAATTTTTGCTTAAAAAAATGGAGAGTGCTAAGAATAACATAATCAAAAAGATATATTTTCTGGTAGTAGTATAGTCTGCTCCAGTTAAATGGTATAAAACCGAAAGTACTGAACAAAGTTGAACCCTAGATTTTTTTGCTAATGTATGTATTGATACGATACGCTTTTTAGCAGCACCGCTAAGTCGTATCTAAATTCCTAATGTTAAATATTATTTTTAACCCCTTATAAAAAAGTGATGGATGCCATATTGAAACATTTTATTTGTGATCTGATTGGTCTGAGATATAGTCACGTGATATACGGCGACAAATCAGCGTGTAGATGTGATTTCAAGTTGAGATTATAGTAATAAAAAATCAATTTAATAATATTTGTCATCTTTTATGATGCTGATCATTTTGAAGAAAATTAATGTAAAAAAAGTATTATTATTTTTACACTTATTTTATGAAACTAACAGCGAATAAATCATTTCCTACAAATGATATAGGTTGAAATTGTTCTAAATACGTACTCATACTAAGTAATTACTCGTTGCATATTACTCGTACTAAGCATTAATCTAGTTTTTGAATTTGTAATATTAAAATAAAGGTTGTAATGTCGCAATCTTTATGCAAAAAGTAGGATCAAAGTTTGATAATAATTTATCCCATTGAGAAAAACCTAGTAAAAAATTATATTTATTATAGTTTTCGATATGATAAGTCAGCAATTTGAAAATGTGTTTTATCAGTAATACACCAGTAATACAACAGTGATTTGTGTTTTGTAATAAAATTGAAAAATCTACCTTTGTAAAAAGTAATTTATGTTAAATATGTTAGTTAATAGAACAATAAGAAATGAAGAAAAAAAAATAAGAGCACGCAAACTGAATTTAATTTTACATATTTTTATTTTCCTGTATGAAAAGGTGATGCTGAGTAAAGTAATTTTATTCGTGATCTAATTGACTGAATGTAGTCAAGTATTCATAGAAATAAGTATAATAATTTGTAGAAATTGAAATTTTAATGACCACACTCTCTCAATGGCCTAACCTTAAAAAAATATGATAAAGTACTCTCAACGTACTCCAATTACATTTATTTATTGAACATATAAATGTATTGAATATCTTTATAGTAAAGTTTAGCTGCGGATAAATATGAACAACATTGGAAAGAATTGTAAATTGATGTTTCATATGAAATTTTATGAATTGATTCCAACATCGTTAATTTAGTTTAAATTAATAATAATTTTAAATTTTGCGACGGGGGAGAGGGAGGGGAAAAATAACAGACGGTATTTCTCCGGTCTCGCACTGTCGCCAGCGGCGCGCAGTCAGCCGAGACAACGTGTGCAGCTTTATTTTATTAAGTTGGGCGCCAGCTACCGTGCTCTCGCGTTAGGAGAGCGTGGTAGCGCTGCAACGTTGGCTGGTTCTCGGCTCGGTGGTCCTGCTGGTCGCTGTGAGGTCGGGTGGTTCCCCGTTGCCTCCCTCCTCGTAGCCGTCGGTGTTCTTGCGCGCGTGGCCGGCTATCACCTGTAAGGAATGAAGCGGGGGCGCGAAGTCCTAGGCGACGATTCGGTCGAGTCTAAACGTATCGAGCGAAGGGGAAAGAAGGGGGGGGGGGGGCAACGGGTGGTTTCCAGGGCCACCCACGGCTGCGGCTCGTTCGGCTAGCTAGAAAATTCGGGGCATGGCGGCTCTTAACCCAGAAGCGGGTACATCGAGGGGGGGCGTCTCAGGGGCGCCCCGGTTGACGGCTAGTGGTTCAGGGGGAATAGCTCCTTCCTTGGACTGGTGGCGTAGTGGCTGCGACAGTGGCTATCGGCTAGGCGGTGATCAGGGCAGTCGCGTACGCGCTTACCAATCTCGAACCGATCGCGAATGCTACGGGGGATGGGGCGATCAAGTGGGTATAGTCAATAATAAGGCAGGCTTAAGGGTAACTCAAGTTTATTAAACGGAAGAATTTCCCAGGTCAGCCCAGCGGTCTACCCGTTGCTATGGTCAGCCTGATTTAGGTTATCGGGGACGCGAGTGGCGTACTACGGCGCAAAGTCGGCTTAGACGAACAATAACTCGGTTGAATGTTTCGAACTTCGGCTATGATTCGAATAC